GAGAGAAGGATTCCAAAATAATGGGAAACTTCATACATGGTACTTTTAACAAGCAGAGAGTACCAAGAAGAAATCGCAATCTATTGGTCTTACATTCTAATTTCTATAAAAACTTTTATAAAAATTATTCATGAATACTTTGAGGGTATCGTTAATGAAAACAGAGGAAGAGAATATAAAGTATTTTTTCTATAGCAGAATACACCTTCCACAGTCTGTAAAACATGAAGAATATAGTATTTCACTGTGTCTATTGTTTGCTTATTTTTTAAATCATTTGATTCATAGAACAAAATACATCCTTAAAGCTCTTTTCCAAAAAGGGATTCCTATGTTAAGAATATGCCACATCCATAATAGATGTAATCACAGAAATTCAATGATATGCTGAATATAAGAATTAAGCGAAGCATAAAGCAGAGACATATATGCTCACCTAAGATGTTCATCAGTGTCGCAGAAAATGTGTTAAACCAAGTGAAATTAAAAGGAATTTCCAAGGGATGATTTTTCAAATGTTCCTATTCATAGATAAAATTATTCTGTTTATAATGGCTCAGAAAAAGAAATTGGCCTAGCCACTGACACTGGAAGGATGAAGTGAATGGAAATGTACATCATCTTAATTTGGGACATGTATGGGACATGGGTAGGCACTTTTTTTTTCCTCCAGTGTGGATATATTGCTCTGCACCTGGACAATGAAATAGTTCCAGAAATGAATATGAGAGTGGGTTGGATCATGTTTGGGAAATTTTACACTATTTTGAATGATTCCAAGCTCCTACTTTCTACAAAGACTGAAATTTAAGTAGTATTGATATTCCTCTAATGTTTGATGGGTTATTAAAGCCAAATAATTCATCATCTGGTATGCAGGCTACTCAAAATGAGCTCTCTGCACTTAGTAGATTGATCCTTGGAAAATAATCAGTCTATCACTGTTGGGACCATGTGGAAATCCCTTCTAGCATGGTAGGACCTGCCACCATTTGTGCTCTATTCACATGACCTTCAAAAACCCAATGTCATCTCTACTCCATGATGAAGCATCAGAACAGCACTTTGTGGAGAGGAGGAAAAAAAAAAAACATAGGGATAGAGAATGCCTTTATGTAGATTATGATATGCCATTGAATGGACATGCCAGTACATTGCTCATGGACCAGACTTGAATAGGAAGAGGAAAGTAAGATAGATTGCATTTGGGAAATTGTAGAGTTTTGAATGTTGCCTAGTTTCTCCTTAAAACAAAGTCTATTTTTCTAAAAACCAATATTCTTCCAGTAATGCTATGGGGCTACAAAGTATGGAATGATGGAGTTTCTGGAGAATTAAAGTTACAAGAGAGAAATGCATGTAGTGTAGTAGGAGCAAAGGATAATGTAAGAATATCTTCACTGGTCCTTATAGAGTTCTAGGGGAAAGCCCCTTGCTCGCTGGGGTGAAGCACATATGGAGGATGCCCTGGATAAAAATCTCACAGGTTGAGAAAGTACATATGGGTCATAATCTAAACCACTGGAGGGAGTATGGACATCAGTGAGATCACATCCATCAAAGTATCCCTCTAGAGATATTTTATATAGAATTAAGAAATATTTCATGTAAGTAGAATCAAAGTCACAGAAAACCCAAATATTGGAAAGACACATTGTGTCCACCCTTTTCCTCCTAATTCTAAGACCCAATTTCTGAAAAGCTCAGTCAGGCTCTGAAGAGCATGGTTGAGTTATGAGATTCCTCTTAATCCCCAAGGCACATGCTCCTTAACTAGGCTGAATGGGACTCCACTCAACTGGGAAACCTAGTTTCTGTTTGGAGTATAAACAGAATCCAGTCTGGGCTAGCTATTTCAAAGGGAGGAACCTCCTCTTCTTGATCCCCTCCATTAGAGTTTAGGGCAACCCAGCTCATGAAGTAGAAAACTAGCCAGAGAAGTCCAGATGGAGGTGGCTTGCCCTGCTCAGATGCCCCGAGGCTCCTGAGTCTCATGATCAAACCACATTCTCAGTAGGAGGAAACTGAAGACTTTTAGACCACCTCCTCATTAAATGTCCACCAGTCAGGGTTGAGTTTCACTTGTCAGGGAAGTTCCTTTTCAGAAAGTTCGCAATTGATTTAAGCCATTTCAGAGTCTCTCTTATCTTTGGTTGTTGAGACAAAGTACTGCCCATCAATTTATTGATTATTAGCTAGTCTAATTAAGAAATTATTTATTTATTACCTGGAAACTCTGTCTCTCAGAGGTCTTATTGATAATACCATTACAAAAAGACATGGATAAAAATTATTTAGGATCAAAAAGGGTCGAAGTGTTGCTAACCTGATCTTAAACTGGCCTCTGTTACCTCCTAGTATAGCCCAATTGAGAGGAAGACCTGAGCCATTGACTGAGAGGGGTGACTGAGGAGAGATAGAGCTTCATGGCCACCAGTTAAGGAGAGGCTTCCTAATCACAGAACCACAATGTATGGAATGCTCAGTTGAGAACTACAGCTAAGGCACAGAAGACTTAAAGAGCTATAGATCTCCTCTAAAAGAGTTGCTTCTGATGAATTGTGGAGGTAGCTGAAAAACAAAGTCCTGTTGAACAGGGTGTTAGAAACTCTTAGATGGAAGAGTAGTTGAAACAAAGTGCTTGAAGGGAAACAGGAATACATGCTGGTGGAGAACAGCTGAGCCACATTGCTCCCAGGGAGTGGTTGATAGGTGAAATTTGACTAGGATTAGCAAAGAGAAGTCCAGAGAAAGCAGCATGATAATATCAATAGAAGATGATACTGACAGCTTTGTTGTATTGGAGGCATGAGTTGCCCCTCCACTCATGTGCCCCAGTTATCAGTTTTCTATAAATGTAGGTTCCTCATGTATGTTCCCTCTCGGAGGTGCATGCTTCCCACTAATTGGTTCTACATTTGTGGAAGAATGAATTCAAGCTTTATAGGGGTCATGTTCTATGGTGGTTGTCCTATTTCATTAAATGCCTTTGTTGTGAACTGCATGTCTTCTGGCTGACTAGTAAAAATAAACACCTAAGTAGGGGCTCATGAACTATAGAGAAGATTCTGACCCACAAAAAAATCCAGCACCTGGGGGTAGTGAACTGAGGGTCTGAGTTCTGTAGATTTGTTTGTGTGTGTACATATGTATGTGTATAAAATAGTGTTTATAAAGTGCTTTAAGGTTTGCAAAATATCTTACATTTTTATCTCATTTTATCCTCAATAGCCGAGAGGGATAGGTGCAATTATTATCCCCATTTTATAGATGAGGAAACTGGGGTAAACAGAGGTTAATTAACTTGCCCAGCATCACACAACTAATAAGTGTCTGAAGACAGATTTCAATTCTGGTCTTACTGACTCCAGGTCCAGTGTTCCATTCACTGCACCCCCTAGAGAAAATATAAGTATGAGAGGCAGGCTGACATGGTGTATTGAGAGCTGACTTTGGATCCAAGATGACTTGGATTCAAGTCCTACCCCCCACACTTTCTCATTGTGTGACTGAGCAAGTTAATTAATTCTTAAGTGCCCTAGAAAATTTTCTAAGAAGTTGCAAAGTTGTTAAGAAGAGAAGGTAATGACCTGCATCAGTACAGGGAGTTTCATTATCTGGGAATTTCATATATCATTGAAATTAGAGGTCCAGTCTCTAGTCCCTAAAGTAAGTATAATAAGTATGCATATATGTGTATGTATATGTTTATATACATATACACACATATGTTATACATATAGATACAGATGCAGACATAATGGTTATATTATATAAAAACATGTATTGCACAGCTAAAAACGTAACTGTTCTTATGGGTTTTTTCCCCTCTATCATTCTCCTCTAAAGGTCTTTTACAAAGCCTCGTTCTTAGCATGGAAGTGACGTTGGGTTATCAGAGACTATACTAGGGGATAACAAAAATTGTCAGATTCTAACAAGTTTAAAAAGATTTTTAAATTCATAACCCCAGTGACAGATTATGTGTATAATATTTGAATATCAGCCCTGCCAAGGTTGGAGACATTCATCACCAAAGGGTTAACCATGAGGTGATGACATTTTCTTAGCCATAGCAACCCATGAAGTTGCTGAAGTCTGGAGGGAACATCTACACTGATGAACCATAAATCTTAGTACTATGGAATATCAGTTTATGTATTTTATTTCCATTTGATTCTGTGTGTATCCCACTACCCCATTCCTCTCCCCATTAGACTGCCTTTCAAGGCCAGAGACAATGCCTTATTCTTCGTTTTCAGAACCTTATATCTTCTAGAATAGCTGTCTGCACTGAGCCAGGGCTAAATCCAATCTTGTTGTCTGCCTGACTGACTGATAAAGCTTTCTCATTTGTGGAACCATGGAGTGCTTTCCCCCTTTCTTTTTCCTGACCAAATACTGTTTAATGTAGACCTTCAAATACCAAGGAGGACTATAGATCATAACAACATGATCAGTGAGAAAACCTGTAGTCTAGGTTGGAAAACTTCTATCCAGTGGGTAGGGCAACCCACCTTGATTCTAGACCACTGGGTGGCTTTTCCTATGGGGGAGGGAAATGGAACTTCTGGGAGGGAGACTAGTAGGGATTGGTGACATCCTACATGAGGTCATTGAACTATCTCTAGCCTGAGCCCTGAAGATGGTGTAAGCAAATGTGGGCTTGGGCTTGCTTCTTGGAGAAATAGGAATATGATTGATATAAACGGTTCCCAGGGTCAGCCAGGTGGGATGTGAGAGACTTAAGGCTATAATCCATACCACAGGTTTAAAAATCTTCTGGAACCAGAACTAGGTCTGTAAAGGCCATTGTCCTTTACCTACCATCTCAGGAAAGGACTACTGCCACTTAGTTGGGGGGACTGGGTGCTTGACCACATCACCATACCCTATAGCCAGTTGAAGGCGAAAGGCCATCATTTACATGTAAATGACAGAACCAAATCAGGGGCACCCACTGCTTCCACGTTTCCGGGGGATAGTCTGAGTTGCCTTACTGTTGTCCAAGTGGTTGGCCTTGATAATTTTCTCTGAGTAGTCAGAAATACTGGAGCATTCGATCTAAAAGGAGAGTGGGACAAAGGAGAGAGGTATTAGATGAACTGCAGAGTGTTAGAGCTGGGAGGGAGCTCATGGCTCATCTTGTACAATCCCCTCATTTTACAGATGAGGAAGTGAAGCTGAGACTGGGGAGGGAAAGCAATTTCTCTAACACCACAGCAAACTACTAGTAGGACTAGTAGGTAAGTCTTCAGATGACCTTCAGTGTATGGCCTCAGGCTCTAATAGTTGTAATGGCTCATTTTGCATTCCCACTACCATCCAACTCTGTGTTCAGGCAATAGTCTGAGCAACAGAATCACACTGCATTCAAGGTCTGGGTCCACAGCTATAGTCCCATTGGGCAAACTCTTATCTAGGTCTTAATTGTGGCCAATACAGGGCTATGAAAGCATTACTAAATTCCAATGCAACTAGGACCTGAAACCCACCAATCTTCTGTATTCTATAATGCTGCCACATGATACCCTCACCCCATTTCTGTTTGCCTATCTCTTTCTCTGTTTCCTTGCTTCTCTCTGACTCTGTCTCTGTATTTTTCTATATCCCCCTCTGTGTCTTTATCTCTGTCTATCTCTGTCTCTCTGTCTTTCTGTCTCTCTGTCTCTGTCTCTGCCTCTCTATTTTTAATCTATACATTTTTCTTTTTCCTTATCATCTCACCGCTGAAGAGATTCTGATCAGCAGGGAAAGGGGAAGGTATATAGAATGTCCAATGTGAATGCACAGAGAACTCATTGACCAACTTAAAATTCATTAACCAACTTTAAGAAGGAATGTACAGAAAATGGAAGGAAGGGCAAGTAATTTAGAATGAATGCAAAAGTACAGTAAGGACTTGCAAGAAAATAGTGCCTAAATCCAAGAATGAAAAGAGGTTGGTAATGCTAAGAACAACAGAAAAGGTGTTTTCTTTTGTTTTGTTCTCAAGTTATGCAGGATAATAGTGATGGTGACAGAGAAGGAAGAACTAAGTAGCAATGTGTATAAGTCACAAAGAGACAAATTTAGGCTTCATTTAAGAAAAAAAACTTCCTAAAGGACTTTCCAAAAATGGAATGGACCAAGGATCTCCCTCTCACTGGAGGCCTTTAAGCAAAGGTTGAATGCCCCTTTGCTGGAGATGTAGTAGAGATTTCTTTTCAGGTATTGGTTGGACTAGATGCCACTGAGATCCCTTCTAACTCTGAAATTCTTTCTTCTTCCTTCCCTCCTTCCTTTCTTCTAACTAGATAGTAAGTTCTTAAAGTTTTTGGTCTTGGAACCCCTTTGCACTCTTTTTTTTTTTTTTTGGCTAGGCAATGGGGTTAAGTGACTTGCCCAGGGTTACACAGCTAGTGAGTGTTTTGTGTCTGAGGTTGGATTTGAACTCAGGTCCTCCTGAATCCAGGCCCGGTGCTCTATCTACTGCACCTCCTAGCTGCCCCAACCCCTTTACACTCTTGTAAATTACTAATGACCCCAAAGAACTTTAGCTTATGTAGGTTATATTTAGTTGTATGCTGGAACCAACTGGAACTGATTGTTAAATTTTCAGTGTGAGCATTTATACATACCTCAGATATCAGTAAAAACTATAAATCAGGGCTTGATTTATTGTTTTATTGATTTTCTAGATCAGTGGTGTCAAACTCAAATAAAAACATGCCACTAAACCATAAATAAGGATGCCTGCTGCCGAATATTGACTTAAATAACCATACATTAATATCATCCATGTTCTATTGTATTCTTATTTATATTGTTAAATATTTTCCAGTTACATTTTAAATCCAGTTTAGGTTGCACTCAAGTGTAGGGCAGGTGTTGTGGTACAAGTGTTTGACTCCTCTGGTCTAGAAAGTGATGAAGAAAATGTTAATAATGCAGATTAAAAGTGTGTTGTACAAATATTTTTTCTGGTGAGCTGGTTGTTAAACATTTACCAGCATACCCTTGGTTATATCTATCAATATATGCTGTATTAGAAATTAAAAGTGATAATCTTTTAAAAATGTCTATTTATTAATTCATTTTAAAATAACAAATAAACCTATTACATGTTAACATAAATAACATATTTATGAAAAATAACCATATTTTCCAAAGCAAAATAAATTGGTGAGAAAAGTAGCATTGTTTTACATATTTTTGCAAACCTACTTAATGTCTAGCTTAATAAAAGACAGCTGGATTCTCCTAACTGCTTCTTCATTCAGTCTGTTGTGATATATTATTCGAGTTGAAGTATTCAAAGAAAATCCTGCTTCACACATGAAGTTGAAAATGGCTGGAGTATTTTAAAAGGCAAATAATGTCTTAGCATTATTGTGAAAATAGTTTTGACCTTGTGGACTCCCTGAAAGAGTCTTAGGGATGCCTTACTTTCTGTTGACCACACTTTGAGAACCATTGAATAAATGATTTGTAAAGTATCTATGAGTTTCTTTGTCTGGTCTCCTTTTACCCATTTCTCTTTCTTTTTGCCTCTGTCCATCTCTCTCTCTCTCTCTCTCTCTCTCTCCCTGACTCTCTCTCCTCTTTCTTTCTTTATGTCTCTGCCTTTTTCAGTTTCTCTTTTTTTCCCACTTGGTTTCACCCTATCTCAGTCAGTAACACAACCTGTTTTTGTTCCTTTTTCTTTCTCTATCTCTGCCTCCTTTCCTCTCCCTCTCTTCTAGAGTATGGAGGATCCAAGAATTTAGCAGTGAAGGCACACTTCCTGCCCTTCCTTGGGCGTAGTCATCTTAGGAGTTCTAACCTAAGAGCAATAGAGCAGCCCCTACACTACTGTGTTCCAGCTGTCTGAGGCTATTCCAGCTATGTGTGACTTTTTTTTTTTTTAGCGATCTGCTTCCCTTTTGCTCTTTTTTTTTTTTAATAACAGCTTCTCAAATAAACAGCTCCATCATCTTTAGCTGGTTTTCTTTAGGGGTGGCTCATTTCACAGCCTCCCCTGTTCCATGCTCTCCCTCCCACTGACCACTATAGAATCACAGAACAACATGGAGCCCAGAGGTCAGTTAGAAGGGAGATCAGAAGCCATCTAATCCAACCAGTCTCTAAAAAGGAATTCCTCATATAAATTCCCCCTGAAGGAGTCCTCTAGCTATCCCTGCTAATTCCAAAGGCTGCCCATTTCACTTTTTGTATTCATTTTGTATATATTCTGTATATAATTATTACTATTATATATGCACATATTATCTCCCCCATAGAAGCTCCTCGAGGAAGGAAGTGTTACACTTACGACTTCATATCTACAGCATTTGGTAGGTGCCTGGCACATGGTGAGTAGGTATGGATTGATTGGATTGGATTGAATTGATTGGAATTCTTCTCCTTCTCCAGGTTAAGCATCTTCAGTTCTTTCAACTGATCCCCATATGACATGATCTCAAGTTCTTTCACCATCCAAGTCACCTTCCTCTGGATTCTCTCTAACTTATCAATGTCTTTCCTAAAATGTGTTGCTCAAGACTAAAGACAATACTCCAGAAGTGGTCTGATCACACCGCCTCCATTTTATACTTGTGAAACAGATTTTTTTAACGCAAGTACAAGACTTTACACTTAGCCCTATGAAATTTCATTTTTTTGGACTTAGCCCAAAAGTGAAGCATGCCAAGATCTTTTTAGCTTGTGACTCTATTATCCAACATATTAGTAATCCCTCCCAGCTATGTCTCATCTTTAAATCTGATAAGTGTGACATCTATGCTTTTCTGCAAGCCATTGATAAAACTGTTAGACAGCACAAAGGCCAAGTTCTTAAGGCATTAAATAAGAAATCTCCTTCCAAGTTGATTTTGAATTATGAATGACTGACTGCTCTTTGGCTCTGGCCATTGAACCAGGTCCAAATCAACCTATGTCACACTTGTGTCTCTTACTTCATTTTGTCCAAAAGAATAACATAAGAGACTTGTCAGATTATTTGCTAAAATCTAGGTAATCTATATGTTCTTTACCTTACTAGACCTTTGGGAAAGAAAGAAAGAGAGAGAGAGAGAGGGAAGGAGGGAGGGAGGGAGGAAGGAAGGAAGCGAGGAAGGAAGGAAGTGAGGAAGGAAGGAAGGAAGGAAGGAAGGAAGGAAGGAAGGAAGGAAGGAAAGAAGGAAGGAAGGAAGGGAGAGAGGGAGGGAGGGAGGGAAGGAGGGAAGTTTGATACAGCCTATTTTTGATGAAGCCATGCTGGTTCATTATGATGACTCTTTCCTTTTTTAAGTGTTCATTACCTCTTTAGTAATGCTTTCTATAATCTTTCCAGGAATCAAAATCAAACTCACTCACATATATTTTGGAAACTTCATTCTCTTCACCATTTTAAAAATGAAGACATTTGTCCTTCCCCAGTTGTTCAGTAACTCTCCGGTTCTCCCTGATTTTTGTCAAAAATCATTGACAGTGACTCTGCAATCGCATTCACTAGTTCTTTCAGTAGTCTGGGCCAAATGACTTAAGCTCATCAAGAGAAAAACTAGATGCTCCCTTGCTATTCTTTCACCTATCTTGTATTTCAATTCCAATTCGCTACTTTTGTTGGGAAGGTTAGATTAAATGGTCTCTTCTGAGCTCTTCTCAAACTACAAGATCCAAATGAATCTCAGATCAAGTATAATGGAAGGGTGATGCTTTTGGCTGTCAGTTTCAGTCCAAAGACAATTCTGGCTTGGCACAGGATTGTCAGATGTCATTATCCTACCTACACTAAGCAGCAGTCTCATTCTTCCTTTTGACCCTTCTCTTTCCACCTGTATAGCTTAAAAACAACAGCAAACAAACAAAAACACCTTTTTTTTGTTATCCTTAACTTTTCCTTGCCCACATGAGTTCATTCTGAGTAGTCGTGCTGACGATATTCACATAGAACAATGCCAGGTTTTTCTACTCAGCCTCCATTACTTCATTACTCCATTACAGCTCTTACTTCCATCTTCTGTATATATCTTTGTAAAAATCTAAGTTGATCTATGAGGTTCTTTTGCATCCATATCAGTCTCTTAAACAAACAAAAAACCTTGCTCTTTCCTCTTCACTGGAAGTGTTTCTATGTGTCTTCAGAATTTTGTTTTTGAGAGGTTCCTCTGTCTTGAGCTGACATTAAGGACATTAAAAAATTAAGGACATAGGAAACTACCATTCCTCTGAATACTTTGATACCTGCTTTCCCAAAATCTAGAGTGTGTCAGACTATGTCTAACTTTCCTCTCCTTCACTATCACAAATTCTAAGTTGGAATGATCATGTCCCAGCAAGGATCCTATCATTTCTACCCTAGCATCCAGTTTCTTTTTGTTGATGACAAATAGGTATAGAATAGAATTTCCATTCTAAGATTCTTCCACCTTTCAGGGGATAAAATTATTACTAAGTCAAGACAATAAATTACTATTTGTTCTTCTTAGGGGAAAGACAGAGAAATAGAGACAAAGAAAAAGAAAGAGGGAAAGAACAAGAGAGAACTCCTACAGATTCTCCCATCCATCTATTTCCCAAATTCTTCATCTATTTCCTCCTTCTGTCCAGGGGGCCTATAATACATCCCAATCACAATATCATTTTTGTTTCTGCCTCTATTATTATGATTATTGACCAAATGCTCCCTACAGTGTACCCCTACTCTGATTACTGGTTTTCCTTAAATATATTATCTCACTGTATGATGTTATTATTCACTTCTCCCTTTTACGTAGCCCATTTTTTCCAATCACAAGTTCTATACCACCAAATTTCAATGGCATATATGACAAACTTGCCTCCTTGCATTAGCATCTCTAATTTTTTTTTGTGAACCATATTTTGGGTAATTTTCTATAGACATCCTTTCTTAGATTTCATCTCCTGTAAATTTCATCTCTGTTGCTATTCTTCCTACTCTGATAGAATGTAAGCGTCCTGTAGACAGCATCTGTTTCATTTTTGTCTTTGTATCTGCATCACTTAGAATAATGATGGTACAGCATAAGTACTTAATAAATGTTTGTTGATTGGTTGATTGATCGCAGCTACTCTCTGTGCATCTAGTTTGAAACATGTACTCCTTCCCCAGCACTTTTTCGGTTTAACATCTAAAGATATGCAAGACTTCAGACGCATATATTCTTACCAGCCTTTGTTAGATGTGCTCCATCTGTGACTAGGAGTTGGTCATTTCTGTATTTTAAGCTGTATTCCTGAAATACAAATGCTATTTTTCAAATCCCATCTTTTTAACCATCTTCCAAAATCTGCCTTTCTTCTCTGTAGCACTTTCCTTAAATCAGTAGAATTACTGAAAATATCACCTATGGTCCTGGGGTCTTCAGTTTTCACCCAAGGCTCCATACAGTTAGCAATTCTTTCTAAAATGCTTTCGGTAGTATAATCCATGCCCATGCAAATCAGCAGAAATTGGTAGGTTTGAGAATTCTTGGATAGCTTTTCCTCTTTTTCTGGATACATGACTCCAAGGAAGAGAAAAGACAGCTCTCATTTTTTTCGTCAGGTTGACAAATGGCTGCCTCAGTATCCCCCACTAGGAAGTCACTAGCTATCACTATACATCTCTTCTCTTCCCTTGATTTGATGGGCTCTCACCTGACAGCAGCACCTCTCCTTAGAGGATGAGCAGCTGCTCCCTTTTCAGAGCACCCAGCCTCCTCTTCTTCAGGAAGTCTCACATGCTTTACTTAACCACCAATATTTAGTGTTCCTTCTTCCCTTTTCATGCTCTTTTAGCCATCAATTTCCTGACACAGGTCACGATTCCCCCCTGCCTCTTTAAAGCTTTTTTTCTTCTTTGTTATCACATAGAAACCCTTCTGTCTTTTTTTTTTTTAAGAAAAATAAAAGAACACTTTAGTTATCTCTCTAATAAGTGTGAGGAGTGGAAAGACATTCCTTGAGCCTCATTTCCTTCACTTCTACTCTATAGAGCCAGCTAGTGACACGATAGAGTGCTGGACTTGGAGACAGGAGCCGTGAGTTCAAATCCAACCTCAAATACTTAGTAGCTGCATGACACCGGGCAAGTCACTTAACCTCTGCCTTAGTTTCTTCAACTAAGGAAGACATACAGGGTTTTTGTGATGATCACATGAGATACCATTTATAAAACACACTTAACATAATGCCTGGCATTATGTTAAGCTACACAGTAACTGCTATATAAATGCTTATTCCTTTCCCCTTTTAGGAGCGAGACCTTCTTGCATTTTAAGCATAAATGATGATTACTTAACTGTGGTAACACAAACATTGCATACTCTGTGCAAGTCACTGAAAAATTATCAAAAAAGGGGAAAGGGAGAGAGACAGGCAGGCAAGAAGGAAAGTGGTCTGTAATCCTCATTGTGCCAGTGCCCTTGAGCCAATTATTTCCTTATCTCTACTCAAATCAATTCAAGAAACACTTTTTTTTTTTGATGAGGCAATTGGAGTTAAATGACTTGCCTAGGGTCACAAAGCTAGTGTCAATTGTACGAGGTCACATTTGAACTCAGATCCTCTTGACTCCAGGATAGTGCTCTATCCACTGCGCCTCCTAGCTGCCCCTTCAAGAAACACTTCTTAAGCACTTATCATATACCAGGCATTGAAGATACAAAGACAAATGCAGCATAGAGCCTTTTCTCAAGGAGCTTCCATTCTAATGTTAGAAACATGTACACAAATAACTATGATACAAAGAGGAGGGAAGGGATATGCCAAGCAAGGGGTGATGGGATGTCTGAGGAAGAAATCCCTTTCCTCTGGAAGGAGAGGGAGGGCCAGGGAAGGCTATATGATGGAGAAGGGACCTAAGGAGGATCTGAAAGGGAGGGAGGGACTTTGACTATAGAGTTGTTGTGGGAGTCGTCCATTCCAAGCATGAAGATCATGATGACAGCAACAACTCAGGTCAGGACAAGAATGGGTGATAGGCAGGTCACTGAATTTCTCTCAGCCTCAGTTTCCTCATCTGTAAAATGGGGATAATGATAGCACCTACCTCACAGGATTTTTGTGAGGATCAGCTGAGAGATATATTAAACACCTTGCAAATCTTAAAGCACTATATAAATGCTATCTGCTCTTATATTATTATATTATCATATGCATTATATTATTTCATACCATACAAGATTTCAAATTCATATTTTCCAAGATTTATTTTATTATATTATGGCAGACCACTTTGGTAATATAAAATATATAGTGAGAAATAAGGCTGGAAAGTTAGGTTGCCTGCTTGTGAGGGATACTAAAATGTCAGGGTGAGAAATTTAAGCTTCATTCAGTAGACAAAAGAAAGCCATCAATTTTTTTTTAGTAGAGGAGTGATGAGATCATATATTATACTTTTTCTGTAGATAATGAGAAGCCACTTAAATTTGGGGGCAGGAAAGGAAAGAAGTAGAAGAATGATGTCATCAAATATTTACTCCTACCTAATTCACAGGAGGTTTGTGGGGACGTCTAGTAAAATCATGGATGTGGAAGCACTTTGAGGTATGTATAAATGTCTGTATTTTCCTGGGAAAAGAGAGAACGTCAGTGGCCTGACCTCCTAACTGTTCTGCAGAGTGACCCTGGCATCATGGAATGCAGCAGACTGTGTTGAAAAGTACTACCAGACTTGGAGTCAGGAAACCTAGGTTGCCATTTTGGTTCTGACATTTATTCTTATTAACCTTGGTACCTGGGCAACTCACTTTCCTTTTCTAAATCCTACTTTTAAAATCCATCTAATAAGAATAATGAAGCTTTTATCAAATATCTTTTCTTTTTTTTATTTAGTATTTTATTTTTTCCCCCACTTACATGTAAAAACAATTTTCAACATTCATTTTTAAAATTGAGTTCCAAATTCTCTCCATCCTTTCCCCCCCAACCCTCTCATTGAGAAGGTTAGCAATTTGATATAGGTTATACATGTATAGTCATATCAGATATCTTTTCATAGGAAACTAGGTGGTATAGGAGATAGAGCACTGGGCTGAAAGTCAGATCTGAATTCAAACCCTGCCTCAGACACTAAACTAGCTGTGTTACCCTGGGAAAGTCACTGAATTTCTCCCAGCCTCAGTTTCCTCATCCATAAAATGGGGGTATTGATAGTACCTACCTCACAGTTAAGATCAACTAAGAGATACATTAAATACCTTGCAAATCCTAATGCACTATATAAATGCTAGCTGTATTATTAGTATTATATTATTTCATACCTCACAAGATTTAGATTTCATGTTTCACAAGATTTATTTTATTATATTATTTCATGCCTCACAGGACTAGAAGAGGTCCTCTGGTCCATCCCTTTATATTTCAGATGAGGAAACTCTCCAAGCCCCAAGAAGTGAAGCAATTTGCCTAAGGCCACCCAACTAGTGAGTAGCTGAGCCAAGATCCAAATGGGTCCTTTGACTTCAAAGCCAGGCTTCTATCTACTGTACCACTCAGTTGCCGACCTTAAGGCTCTACAGAGAGATGAGCAATTATTCCTGTAGGAGTCTGTCACTAGTTGTATGAGGGTCCCTCCCAACCTTTCCTATAGCTCAAGACTTATGGTTGGTTTTCTTGCTTTCTCTAAGGTGTATGTTGAAGGTAGAAAGCACCAAGGATTATTTTTGTGTTTGCTTCTTTGTTTGTTGAGGAGTGGAGGTAGGGATTGGAAAAGTTAGGTTGGAGATGAAATGGGATTGTATTGGAGAAGATAGTATCTGGGGCCCATTTTCTAAAAGGCCCAAAACAAGAAAGAAATGATTCCCTTACCCCATACACCTTCTTGGCCCCTGCTTTAGCAGCAAACATAGAAAGGATGCCTGTGCCACTCCCAACGTCCAGCACCACCTTGTCCTTAAACACATGCTTGTTGTGGTACATGGAGTTTCTGTAGGTAAGCGTGCGCACCTCATCCTTCAGCATTTCCTGTGGCAGGAGAGAGAAGAAAGAAATCAAGTTAAGGAATTCCCTGAGTAGAGTGGAAGTAGATGTATAATCAAAGGATCCAAGTTTGAGTCTTAATTTCATTATCTACTTACTGTTTTGTGACCTTTAGGCAAGGACACTTCACCTCTCTGGGCCTCAGTTTCTCCATGTGTAAAATGAAAAGGTTGGACTAGATGATCTCTGAAGTCCATTTAAATTAAAAAAACCCCTATGATTTTATAATCCTGTAGTGCTACCCTCTTCTTCTTCCTTTATATTATCTCACTTGGTTATCTTATCAGATCTTTTGATTTCAATTAACATCCTTATGAAGGTGATTCTCTGATACATATCTCCAGCCCTAGTAACTCTCCTGAACTTGAGTCCCATATCATCAACTACCTTTTGGACATCTCAAAAGGGGTGTCCCATAAATGTGACAAACTCCAGAATTTAACAAAGTATATAAATATATATATATATATATATACACACACACACACACACACAAATATTGTGTGTATATTTTGTATGTATATGGTTATTTAATTGTTGTCCCCCTTATTATAATGTAAGTTTCTTGAAAAAAGGGATCATGTTTTTGCCTTTCTTTCACTTAATATAGTCTCTGACACATTTAATAAATGCTTATTGACAGACCATAACCTCTAAGGTCTCTCCCAGCTCCAAATCTATGATCCTATAAGCTTATTTATGTACCATAAGGCGTAGATATTTTGACATACCTTATGAACCATAAGTTTAATTACTATTTCAATAAAGGAGTTGCTACTCTGATGCCTTATCACAACATAGAGGCCGCTCTGACTTCTTAAAAGCTATGCTGTGAGCATAACAACTCTGGTACTTGCCCCAGGACAGACTGTGCAGTCTTGTCTTAGGACCAGTTTAACCAAGGTTGGAGAGGTTTGCCACCAGATTGGCTGTGAGGAATTTTGGATCCTCAGCAACTATCCTAGACCAACTCTACCAAGGAATAGGGGTTTGTAATTAGCATTCTTAGAGTATCCATACCAATGAAATCACAGATCCTTGAAGTCTAAGCAACATACCACATTCTTTTTTTCTTTTTCTTTTTTTTACTTTTTTGGTGAGGCAATCAGGGTTAAGTGACTTGCCCAGGGTCACACAGCTAGTAAGTGTCAAGTGTCTAAGGCCAGATTTGAACTCAGGTCCTCCTGACTCCAAGGCCAGGGCTCTATCCACTGCACCACCTACCTACCCCAACATATCACATTCTTCTAAGGAAGTATTTGTCAAGTAAAGACTCATAGATGACTTGAGCAAGGTCCTCCAGAGATCACCCTTCTACCCTGAATGGAGATTCCATCCTGTGAAAATTGTCCAGTCTCCTCAGATCTCAGGTGAATGGTGTGACAAATCTTGATTTCTAAGGGCTGATGATGCAACATATTTCTCACTTCTCAGTGTAAAGATGGTGGGCTACAGATATGGAATACTGCCTGCTGTCATCTGTGGCTTCCATAAGACTTTGTTTGCTTAACTGTTTCTTTTTTTTACAATAGAGGATGGAAAATGGAGTATGGGAAGTGAGGTAATGAGAAGGGAGAAGCACAATAAAGCAGTATTTGAAAATCAATAAATAAAAATTAGTCAGGTTCCAGCTCCGCCACTTATTAACTATTTGCCCCAAAATGACTTGTTTCACCTTTCAGAGTCTCAGTTACCTTACCTTGGACTAGATGATGTTAAGATACACTATAAAGAAGCTCAAATAGTCTGTGAGCCTGTAAGATTATAGATAGAGCACTAGACCTGGAGGATCTGAATTCAAATCCAATTTCAGACACTTAATAGTTGTATGACCCTGGCCAAGTCATTTAACTTGCCTCAGTTTCCTCAACTATAAAATGAGGATACTAATTACCTACCTCATGAGGTTGTTGTGTGGATCAAATGAGAAAATATTTGTAAAGTGCTTATCACAGTGCCTGATGCATTGCGTAGTAAGTGTGCATATTCCCTCTCTCCCATTCCCCCTTCTCAGAAATTACTTTGAATCTACTTTGTATATTTTCTATATTTACTTATGTGTATGCATGTTGTTTCTTTCCAGTAGAACCCAAACTCTTTAAGGATGAGGATTGTTTTAATTTTTGTCCTTTAATGCCCAATGCCTAACCTTTGCCTGGAAAATAGCAGATGTCTAATAAATGCTTTTTAAATTGAACTGAAGCTGATTAATCAAGAAGGTGGTGTAATGTTTACACGTGATTTCATTTTTTTTTTTTGCTTGTTTGTTCTGAACAGGATATGTTCCACTGCTGAAGATTATTTAGGAGAGGACAGGGACTATTTCCTGCCCCACCATAGAGCATAATGCTTAGCACATAGTAAGTGTTTAATAAGTGTTTGTTGATCATTTGATTGACTGATGGCCTTTCAACAGGCAAAGAGACCAAATGACTTGCTCTGATACCTTCTTTCCTGAGATTCATGGTTTTTAGGCAGGTTTTAGATATAGTTTTAGACAGATCCTTTCACCTTATTTCTTTCTAGGAGCTGTAGATGTGGGTGGTTTAACAGTATCCCTCCACTCCTCCCAAATATCTGGGAGGCTAAGCAGGAAGAGGTTTAGGAGCTAGCAATAGGCAGATAGCTTCATACAGGAGTGTGAGACATATTTCCTTTTATTTTCATTATATTCAATAAACTACATGATCACAGTACAATAAGAAAATGAGTCCTATGGATATGGGGAGAATTGTGAAAAAGAGAGAAAAGAGAATATGAACAGATAGGGTAGGGGCTCATGAGCTGAGTATAAACCATAGATTTTATGTTTTAATATTTTGAATATTATTCTATTTCACTACCCCCAAAATTAATTCTGGACCTATCCAACAGCACCATATAAAGCCACAGACTTGACAATGTGGAGAATAATCTAGGCATCTGTAGTCTGGGACCTTTGTGGTGGCCAAAGGGCATTCAATAAACATTTGAGGAGGTCTATTTTATGCATGCAGCTGAGATGCTCTTGACAGTTGATCTGATGGCCAACTCAGACATTGCACTCAGAATCAGAGAATTTGGAAGTGACTTATCCAGTCCCATCCATACCTAAAAAGGATCTATATCCAACATGATGTACAAGGTAGGCATCCTATGAAAGGGAGTCCAGCATCTCTCCAGGCAGCCTACCCCATGTTGGAACATCAATTTTCCTGACATCGAGCCTAAGTTTAACTTTTTTCAACTTTTGCCCAATGTTCCTGGTTCTTTCTGATGAGGCAAAATTGCATAAGTGTAATGCCTCATGAAGACGTATTATCCTTCTATCTACTCACACCACCCCCCACATACGTACTATACACTCATGCACAGTACACACACATTCCCTTCCCCCACATCCACATTCCCCTTGTACATTCACACAAATACATACCACACACATCCACACATCTACTCCCACACCTAAACGCACATGTACTTCTTTTCTCAAAGCAAAACAACCCTAATTCTTTCAATTATTTCTCATATGACATCAACTCTTCACAGGGCCCTTCACCAGCCTGATTTCCCTCCTCTGAATGGAGACTTCCCTGCATTTATAAGCTGAACCAATGACAATACTCCAGATGAAGTCAGATTTAGGCAGAGGAAGGGTCTACTACCTTGCCTGGCTCCAAGCAACTCAAGTTTGATTGAGGGTTTTCTGGCCTATAACTCAGCCGATGGCTGAGAATGCTGTTCACAAAAAAACCCAAATCTTTTTTTTTTCCAGAAAACTTCTAACTATGCCTCCTTTATTTTGTACTTGTGGGGCTGATTTTCCGAACCTGAATTTGGACCCAAATTATCCTTCCCAAATTTCACCTACTAGATTCAGCCCAATGCTACAGAAGGTTTTGGATCCCGATTCTGTCATCCACTGTGTTAGCTATCCCTCCCAGCTTTGTGTCATCCACAAATTTAATAAGCATTCCATCTATGCTTTTATAGAAGCAATTTATAAAAAGAATAGATCTCTGGGACGTACCACTGGAGATCCCTTGCTATGTCAACACTGAATCATTAACAACTCTTTGAGTATGGCCGTTAAATCACTTCTAAATCCATTTAATTATATTATCAGCAAATCCACATCTCTCAATTTCCTCCTTGGGAAGTCTCAGATACTTCATTAAGTGCTTTGCTAAACAATGACAAGAGAAAAAGATTAAAGGTATAAAGATAGACAGAAAAGGAAAAAAAAACTACCCCTGATGACATGATGGTTTACTTTGAAAATCCTAGGAAATCAGCCAAGAAACTAATTGAGGCAATTAATAGCTTCAGCAAAGTAGCAGGTTATAAAATAAGCCCATAAAAATTATCAGCATTTCTATATAGAAACAACAAAACCCAGAAGGGAACAACAGAAATGACTGATTCAAAACAACTACAAAATCCACAAAATATTTTCTAGCTAACCTATCAGCCCACACATTCTTTGGACGGGAAGGGATAGGGGCCTAAACCTGTGGTTTCACAGATGTAGGGAACTCCCTCTACCATTAATGATCAGGACCTTCTCTGTGCCAGAAGTGTCAGAAGTATCAGAAGATTGAGATGTCCAGTGATTTTTCCCAAGGTCAGAGTTTAGTGTGTGTCAGAAGCAAGGCTTGAATTCAGGCCTTCTTCATCCTGTGAAAAAGGCCAATAAGCACCTTTGGCCAGAACAATGCTGAAGGGAAATCTCCCAAAGAAGTAACAAAGAAAGTTCATGAAAATCATTTTTACAAAGGCTTATTTTGTGAATTACTTATTATCAGTGTGGGAGTATAGTGGGTCTCACAGGCTACAAAATGGACTTAAAAGGAAGAAAGGTTTGCTGGTGATGTTTTACCTCGCAACACTATCTATATAGCTACAATTAGTAAATGCTATTTAGAGAAATTAGGGGGAAAACAGCTTAAATAATTCTAATAATACTCAGTGAGCACAGCTGAACAATACTGCTAAAATTAATTTAC